GGCCCATAAGACCTCTATACACCTGACTGATGTCAAAGTCTGACATTAGCATATCAGCCTAGTAAACTCCGGGGAGCCTCTGGGACTCACCCAGAAAATGGTGATTCATTACATTCAACGCTGCTTTTTTTTTTTTTTTTTTTTTTTTTTTTTTTTTTTTTTTTTTTTTCTGAACAGCACTTTTACACAGCATTTCTTAGAGGGAATTTATATTTAGGGCAGTTCCGTCTGTATTGGATTGAGCTCTGATTCCTGCTTGTTCTCCGTCTTATGGAGAGGATATGGGAGAAGTTGCAAGGCCCCTTTTTGTCTGTAGTAATGAGTCATAAGTACCCGGGTTGGTGTATAATCAGACCAGTAATGGTTCAAGCATAAGCTAAGATAAACTATTGAGGCTGAGCCCAAAAAGGGGCATTTACCTGTTTGATACCTGCTTGGTGGAGTTCTGTGAGTTCTTCTACTCCCCAAACCTGGCCCAGGACCAGGCTTGACATGTGAGAGCTTGGTTCAACAGGCTGTTGCTTGGAGCGGCCATCACTTAACACTGTTTTTAATTCTTTATTATAATGTACACTTTTAAGGGTTGCTGGATAAATGTAACTTATTATTATTATAAACCTGAACTTTCTGTTGCATATGGTTTATCAATGACTAAGATTTTGATCTTTTCTGTGGGGAGCCCCTGCAGCTCCCCGAAGCTTACCGGGGCTAATATGTATGTATTAGACCGTAGCATCAGTCGATGGAGTTCTTGCCTACCGGGGACCATGAGCCAGACCCTGTCCCCCTCAATGAGGCATGATGAGCAATGGCCTATGGAAACCCCCATGTGTTTGGAAGCATTCCATGTCTGCCATCGACCAAGGTTTGGCACCCAGAAAAATAGGCGTAACAAAACAAACCCCACATGGTTAAAATTGCTACCTAAAACCGAACAAGGAGGCAGAACTCCCAAACTTAAACAAGCAAACGTCACTAATCCCGTTGTGCAAATCGTCTGCGCATCCCTCCCCCTCGCGCGTGCACAATGGTCGCTACAGCATTCAGTTCCTCGGCTGATGTGGACTGTGGGGGTCATCTCTGGCCTCTGACTCTTGCAGTTCTGTGCCTTGTGGTGTTTTCTGCTGTGTGTGGTGCACAGGCCAGGAATAATTCATCAGTATTGGGATTGCATGCTCTTAGGGCCATCTTCCCTAAGCACCCTGTAGGTACTGCCCCTGCGTCTTGGGGTTATCTTTCACAGGGCGTTTGGGAACCGTTTCCGTAGGGGTCTTTTGCTGCTCGGCAATTGCCCGCCCTTGGGGCCAGCTGGGGTTTTTGTTGCTACTGTTTGACCTTGGATAGGAAGTGGTATCGTTGCTGGTATGGGCACAAGGTATTGTGTAGCTTGTCTCCCATTATACTCAGCGAGCGGTACTGTTACCCCTGGGGACGTTGTGCTTTCGCTGGGGTTTTAATTTTCTTTTTGTTTATTTTGCCTGGTGGGGGTCTGCCCCCCTTTCCCCTTGGTTTATCCACCCGTTCGTTGTATTGGTGGTCCTGGGCTAGGCCCCCATGCTTGTACATGTCACAGGGGTTCAGGTTTTTTGCAGTTCTCTTGGTAGCTTGGGCCAAACTGGTTAGCAATACCTTGCTTGGTTTTCCCTTAGCAGTTAGTCTAAGAGTCGTGGAAAACCCCATTGGGGCTCTTTGGACCTATGGATGATTGCTCTGGGTCCCACCTCACCAAGTGCAAGTTTCAAGGTTTCTCTGTCCCCTTGTCTCAGGGTAACACTCGCCAGTTTTTCCTCCATCATACTGCCTGTTGGGTCAATGACACCTTTGACCCAGTCTTGCAAGTCTTGCTCCTTGCTCATACTCCAGATTACCAAGTCTTCTGTTATTAATATTCGGGTACAGGCGGCTTCGGCGGTGCATGCTAGATATTGGTTGCTGCAGCACGCTGGGTTGATTGCTCACCCAGATGCCCCGAGGCTGCCCCGCTTGGGTTATAGGGACCCGGACTTGGGGGCGTTGATTGCTTCGACTTTGGTTTCGTTCGCGCTCCCATGTTTTTTCCCCTGTTCCCATACCCCCCTGCTCCGTCTGAAGGTTTCAGAGTCGGGGCGGGGTTTTGATGATAGTGAGACTTGGGCAGCTTCATGGACTGCCTCTTCCAGGTCGGCTATAGAGGCATTCGAGCCTGCTCCTCCTGCCGCGACTTCCGGGTCTTACCAGCAGACCCCCTTCTCAGCCTTTCTCATGGAATTTGCCTTTTCTTTAGGGGCAGAGGGTGTGGAGGATGGCTCTGCCCCGGGTCCTGGCGGGGAGGATCCCGGGGCTGGGGAGGAGTCGACATAGGGGGCTTGGACCCTGTTTGACCCCTCTTAAGTGTTGCTACCCTCGTCATGGGGCTTGTTGCTGCAGGAGGGGAGAGGGAGGGGGGGTTTTCGTACCCTCCTTTGAGTTCGGATCGACCTTCCCCTTTTGGATGGTTATGACGTACCGGAGTACCTCGTAACGACTTCCATTGTGGTTCAGGTTTACCTGGGGGATGAGTTTGAGCGCCTTAACGTGTGCTTGTTCACCCCTGTGCTTCCACAGGATGTTAACATTGTTTAGCTTCACTTGCAGGTTCCCTCCCTTTCTGCTGAGGATTTGTGCCCCCATGGGTATTTGGCCTCGGTCTTGTGTTCTTTTCCCTTCTCGAGCTGTCCTCTAACTGGCTTGAGGAGGATGTGGAGGTGCTCGGTGCCGGGTTTTTGTCTGGTGCGCTTGCCTCAGCAGCTAAGGCATTGGTTGTCTTTTTGAAGTTGTTTGCGCCAATTCTCAAGGAGGAGGTGTCTTTGTTTTTTGCTTCTGCCTCGCATGCCGACAGGCTCTGCTAGTTCTCTCCTTAGAATCCACTTGGGCTCTGGCTCTTAAGTTTTTGTCTACCTTTTGTCAGTTGGTGTTTACAGAGACTGCTGGCAAGCAGCTTCGTCTAGTTGTCATCCCACGTCAGACTTGTTGGTTCTCTGGGGTTGGGGGGGGGGCCCTCCCAAGAGTCGTCTCAGGGTTTGGGGTTCCTCTTTTTGTGGTGGGCCAGCAGTGCCAGTTTCTGAGCCTGCGCTTCCTTTGGAGCCGGTGGCATCTGGTTGTCGCAGTGGTCGCTCTTCTTACAGCATCTCGTAAGGGGCGTCTGCTCTTTCGCAATCTCACCTTTGCTTGTTTCTGAAGGGCTCCCGGGTCACTCAGCAGTTGCTCGAGCAGCTGTGTGGGAGTCTGAACTTTGCTGAGCTTGTTTACCCGCCTGGTCAGGTGTGACTTCAGCTGTCAAGCTTACAGCATGGTGCGGGAGTTCACGGGGGTTTGGCTGGTTTTTCAAAGGGTTCGGGTCAGTCAGGGTTAAGCAATCAGGCTCTATTCAGACTGTTCTCCGGTAGTTCATTGCCTGAACCACGGGAGGTTCTCTTGCTTCTTTGGGGCTGGTCTCTCTGAATGACTCATTTGCTGGATTCTTTGGGTTTGGTTCTCCCATGTAGTTCATGTCCAAGGAGTGTCTAACGGCCTGGCAGACAGCCTGTCTCGGTTCATTTCCTTGTCCACAGAATGGACGGTCGATGCCGACTCCTTCAGTTGGTTCTGCCGGATGCACAGACTCCTGGACGTGGACTTCATTGCACCGTCATGGTCCCGGTGTCTTCCTGTGCATGTGGTGCCCTTCCCCAACTGCGAGGCCATCATGGCAGGACTGGTCGAGGTGGGGTTACCTGTATTTCTTTCCCCCTGGTCCAGCTGTTACTTTGGGTCCTGGTTCGGTTGGAGACTGAGGCGCTGCTTGCTCAGTTTCCGAACCTGGGATGTTTTCTGTGGCTCTGCCTCTTTCAGCAGATTGATCTGGCCAGGTACCTGGCTGGTTCAGTCTTCTCCGCTCTTCATGTCTGGTCTTTCTGACTCGGGTCTATCATCACTTGTATAGTTATCAGGTGGCTTTGTTGATGGTGTTCCACCTGCGGGCTTTGTCTTGGCGACAGTACGAAGTTTCCTGGTGCTCTTTCCACCATTTTCTCTCTTCGTAGGTTTCCCTCTATATCAGATAGGGTTGTCTTTTCTATTCTATCGCCTCATATCATGCGGAGCTGCTTCAGCTTGCATTCAGGGTGGATATTACTTCCGCTCCGTTCCATAAGCTTTCTCGTGCTTTGTTTCACCTGCTTATGTGCCGACTGACCTATCCTTGGACAGTGCTCTCCTTTCTCTCTTCTCGGTTTGTGGTGGCCCTTTCAGTACAAGATTGTTTTTCCAAGGCTCTTTTATTCCTGTTGGCACTGGCTTCTTGGGGGGTCGGGTCGGAGAGCTTCGTGCTCTCTTCTGGCACAGAGGTTTCTGCTCTTTTGGGCCTGGGAGTAGGTTTGTGTGCAGCCGTCTCCTTTTCTGGTGAAGAATGAGTTGGCAGGGGTTCCGGAGGGGTTCTTAGGACGTTGTTGTTGGTCAGGCCAGGAGTGTATCATGTGGTGTGTCCGGTTGTGGCTCTTCGCCGTTACCTGCTCGGGTAATGCTCAGTCTCAGTTCTGCTCAACCTCAGAACTGAATGCTGTAGCGGCCGGCGCGGAGGGGCTGCACGGATGATTGGCACGACGGCGTTAGTGACGTTTACTTGTTTGCTTGTTTTAGTTTGGGATTTCTGCCTCCCTGTTTGGTTTTAGGTAGCAATTTATACCATGTTTGGATTTGTTTTGTTACACCTACCTTTCTGAGTACCAAATCCCAGTCAATGGCAGACATGGAAAGCTTCCAAACATTCCAAACACATGGGGAGGGTTTCCATAGGCCATTGCTCCTCATGCCTTTCTGAGCGGGGTCAGGTTCTCGCTCGTGGTCCCTGGTAGGCAAGAATTCCATCGACTAATGCCATGGTTTAATACTACACATCAGCCCGGTAAGCTCCGGGGAGCCTCCGGGACTCATCCAGAAAAAGACGTTTCATTACATTCAACGCTGATTTTTTCATCAAAAGCTTGCATTTCTTTCCTTTCCAGATACATTATTTGCAAATGGAAACGGAAGGACACCGATGATGTCTATAGATTCCTGTATGAAATGAATGAACGCCTTATAGGATTGAGATCTTCATCCATGGATGTAACTGAATTGGTACCTCTAGAACATCTCAAAGCAGACCAAGAATTTTATGATTACATTTACACTTCCAATAATGAGTAAGTAACTGTCAGTTAACATCTGATTAGTTTAAATGCTAATTTATATTTCTTCCATAGTCATTTAATTATGTGTTGGACTCATTCTTAAATTTGTTATTTGATATACAGTATACTGTACAATAATATTGTACACAAAATGACATTGCGCACAATAGCCAGATCTTAATACTTTCGCGCTCCCGGCGGTCAAGCGTAAAACATTGCTCTTGTGCTCCTGGCATTTCGGGTATTCGAGCGGCGACACTGAAAAGTGTATACTCTTTTCACGGTTCTGACCTTAATTTTCGATGTACGTGTTTCATTTTGGTATCAATGTGTTCGCAATAGAATGTTCTAGAAGAACATATGTATAAAATGTCACCAAAGCAGGCATGAGAATGGCACCAAATAAAAAACTACGCTGATCGGTAGCCGTGACCGCCAAACAGCAATGAAATGTTTCTACTCTTTTCAAGTTTGTCAACCCCACACTTGTCCTACATCGTTCATTTTGGTATCACTGTGATCACAATAAAGTTCCCTACACGGACATATGCATATAAAATCCAAATTAAGGATGCGGCTCACCCACAACAACGTAGGAAGTCGCCGAAATGTTACTCATTACCGCACGTCCAACGGCACATTGGCTACACCCCTACTGAAAAGTGTATACCCTTTTCAGTGTTCTGACCTTAATTCTTGATGTACGTGTTTCATTTTTTGTATCAATGTGTTCGCAATAGAATTTTCTAGAGGAACATATGCATAAAATGTCACCAAGGCAGGCGTGAGACCGGCACCAAATAAAAAAAAAATGTAGATCGGTAGCTGTGAGCGCCAAACACTGGAAACTGGAAAATATTGGAGGGGTGACAGGTAAGCTTCTAACGTGGATGAAAAATTTTCTTACTGATAGAAAAATGAGGGCAGTGATCAGAGGCAATGTATCGGACTGGAGAAATGTCACAAGTGGAGTACCACAGGGTTCAGTTCTTGCACCAGTGATGTTTATTGTCTACATAAATGATCTACCAGTTGGTATACAGAATTATATGAACATGTTTACTGATGATGCTAAGATAGTAGGAAGGATAAGAAACTTAGATGATTGTCATGCCCTTCAAGATGACCTGGACAAAATAAGTATATGGAGCACCACTTGGCAAATGGAATTTAATGTTAATAAATGCCATGTTATGGAATGTAGAATAGAACATTGACCTCACACAACCTATATATTATGTGAGAAATCTTTAAAGAATTCTGATAAAGAAAGAGATCTAGGGGTGGTTCTAGATAGAAAACTATTACCTGAGGACCACATAAAGAATATTGTGCTAGGAGCCTATGCCACGCTTTTTAACTTCAGAATTGCTTTTAAATACATGGATGGCGATATATTAAAGAAATTGTTCACGACTTTTGTTAGGCCAAAGCTAGAATATGCAGCGGTTGTGTGGTGCCCATATCTTAAGAAGCACATCAACAAACTGGAAAAGGTGCAAAGACATGCTACTAAGTGGCTCCCAGAACTGAAGGGCAAGAGCTTCGAGGAGAGGTTAGAGGCATTAAATATGCCAAAACTAGAAGACAGAAGAAAAAGAGGTGATATGATCACCACATACAAAATAGTAACAGGAATTGATAAAATTGATAGGGAAGATTTCCTGAGACCTGGAACTTTAAGAACAAGAGGTCATAGATTTAAACTAGCTAAACACAGATGCCGAAGAAATATCAGAAAATTCACTTTCGCAAACAGAGTGGTGGATGGTTGGAATAAGTTAGGTGAGAAGGTGGTGGAGGCCAAGACCATCAGTAGTTTCACAGCGTTATATGACAAAGAGTGCTGGGAAGACGGGACACCACGAGCGTAGCTCTTATCCTGTAACTACACTTAGGTAATTACTTAGGTAATTACACACACACACACTTATTCATCTGGAATCATTATATGAAGAGGCCAAACCCTCAAACATACCAGCGATACAGAGATGCGAGAAACAACTACACGGCAGTGAGGAGAGAAGCAGAAATAAATTTTTAAAAGGGGATAGCGGACAAATGTAAAACAGAACCAGGCTTATTCTACAAATTCATAAACAACAAATTACAGGTAAAGATAATGTTCAGAGGTTGAAAATTGGAAACAGGTTCACGGAAAATGAAAAGGAAATGTGTGAAACATTGATCGAAAATTTTCCAAAATGTGTTTGTACAAAATGAAATCTTGAGGGAACCAGACACAATTAGCATTCCGGAGAATGACAGAGCACATAAAGGTGTCTAGAGACAAAGTGGAAAAAATGCTCAAGGAGCTAAGTAAGAACAAAGCAGTTGGCCCAGATGGCATTTCACCATGGGTTCTGAGGGAATGTGCACCTGAGCTCAGCATTCCACTTAACTGATTTTTCTGCCATTCCTGAGTACAGGAGTCATAGCAGATGTGTGGAAAAAGGCTAACATAATTCCAGTCTACAAAAGTAGCGGCAGGGAAGACCCGCTCAATTATAGACCTGTATCATTTACAAGTGTAATAAAAAAATATTGGAAAAAATAAATGGGATGAATACCTGGAGAAAAATATATAATATCAGACAGTCAGTATGGTTTTCGATCTGGAAGATCCTGTGTAACAAATTTAATCAGTTTTATGATCGAGCCACAGAGATTTTACAGGAAAGAGATGGTTAAGTTGACTGCATCTATCTGAACCTTTAAAAAAGCTTTCGACAGAGTACCACATAAGAGGTTGTTCTGGAAACTAGAACACATTGGAGGGGTGACAGGTAAGCTTCTAACATGGATGAAAAGTTTCTAACTGATAGAAAAACGAGGGCAGTAATCAGAGGCAATGTATCGGATTGGAGAAATGTCACAAGTGGAGTACCACAAGGTTCAGTGATTGCACCGGTAATGTTCATTGTCTACATAAATGATCAACCAGAGGAAATGCAGAATTATATCAACGTGTTTGCTGATGATGATAAGATAATAGGGAAGATAAGTAACTTAAATAATTGTCATGCCCTTCAAGAAGACCAGGACAAAATAAGTATATGGAGCACCACTTGGAAAATGGATTTTAATGTAAATAAATGCCTTGTTATGGAATGTGGAATAGGAGAACATAGAACATATACAGTAATTACTTTTATGTTCAAAACCCCCCAAAAAGCCAAAAAACAATGAAATTCTTTACAAAGAATTCATGTGTAATCATCACTAAGCAGGAGGCACTGGTAAACTGAAGTGCGGTCGCCCGTGCCACCAGGAACCATGCGCTAGGTCGCCCATACAGTACACGTATCAACAAACTACGTTACTCGAGGCAAAGCTCGTAAGCTGATTCACATTTTACGAAGAAATTGGGCTCGTTACCTGAAAAGTTTGTAAATAAGGGCATTCGTAAGTTGAGGTGTCACTGTAACTCTATGTAAAGTCACTTACCATAATTAATTTTCTTCCTCTTCAGATTGGGGTTCCGCCAGATGGTGAGCTTGCGAAAAATTCAAATCTTCTGCCAAGATACTCAGATGATCGAAACACGGCAGTCGGAATTGCGTATCCAGTGTCTTAATCTTTGGCAATGTCCTGACCGAACTCGTACAGTACCACAGCGTTCTGAGGCCAAAGTCAAGTTTGTTGAATTAATAGATGGAGAAAACTATGGTGAGTGATGATTACAATATGAAGCAATCAATTTCATTAACTATTATTTTATAATCTTCCTATCCTAATTTTTTTCAATATTTTTCTGATCACTTGTTAAGTGCTATCTAAGATAAGATTAAGTGGGAGGAGTGTGGTCATACCTCTCGATTATCCAAGAAGTGAAGTAATCATTTAAGAAGTTAAGCGAGAAAGAACTGGTAAGTATATTAAAAAAAAAAATTAGAGTATTCTTGGAGAAAGAGGTTATGTATAAATTAGTCTATATCTAAGAGATGCAATATATGTGGCACTACACAAACTGGGAGATGAATTTAAGGAACTGCTTCATATAAGAAAAATATTACAAGAGCAGTTAATGAGAAAAATAAGTGGGTTTTATAGATGAAAAATGAATGAAAAAGATTCAACACAGCAGTAATATGATAAGAGTAAAAGAAATATGAAAAGATTAATTAAATAACAAAAATAGTGAAAGAGGAGATGGGAAAAAACACCGTAGAGCGGTGGGTATCATACACCATAGAGCGATGGGTGCCTGCTCAAGTGTAGGCTGCCAGTATCTCACAGACCTAGACAGGATAGGAACTCAGGACCTCGGTGCTTCACAACTATCTTAGTTATTACCTTACTCAATAAAGTACAGTACTTGAAGTGATCTTCAGTGTGTATCTCTTCAACAACCAAGCAAGCACAAATACAAGGTATAAATAATTGTATTGCTGTATAAAAATAGAGGCAATAGTTTACTAAGTGTAGGGATTGGGAAAAAATGGACAGTTTCTAATAACTTGATTATTGGTAAGGAAGGTGGGTTGTGTCGTGGAACAGGGGTACAGAGTGTAGATCAGATATATGTAGAGTAGGGCAAAATCTCCCGCATCCGAATGGTCGCCTGTAACATGTTTTCTAAAGTTATTTGGTGATTCATTGTTGCCTAACATTTCTCTAAAGTTTGAGGTTTGTAATGCTTGTGTGTTATAGTGGGTACTCTGCTTTGGTTGTGTGATTGAAAAGGTACTGTCCCATTAGATAAGGGAAGGTAATTTCTATTGTCACCAAAGTGTCCTAGGAATATCATAGCATTAGGTTTGGGGAACTTCATTTTATAACATTTATATTAAGAAAATGGAGTGCCCTTTCCATATACTGTATACCACAAAAAAATTGTAAATATTTTTTCTGGGGGAGCCCCTTCGGCTCCCCGGAGCTATCCAGGCTGATATGTAATATCAGCCTGACTGATGACCTTGGCATCAATCAGTGTGAATGGAGTTCATAGGCCTACCGGGGACCACGAGCCAGAACCTGGCTCCCTCAGAGAGGCAATGGAGCAAAGACCTATAGAATAGCACATGTGATCTCAAGCATTGTGATCACTTCGCAAAGGCTTTCGATAAATGTGACCATAGTGTGATAGCACACAAAATGAAGTCAATGGGAATAACCGGTAAAGTAGGACGCTGGATACTCAGTTTTCTGTCAAACAGGACTCAGCGAGTAACGGTCAACCATATAAAATCTAGTCCAAGTGCAGTTAAAAGCCCTGTACCTCAGGGTACAGTCCTTGCACCGCTGCTTTTCCTTATTCTCATATCAGATATAGACAAAAATACAAGTCACAGCTTCGTATCATCCTTTGCAGATGACACAAAAATCAGTATGAAAATTACCTCGGCTGAAGACATTGAAAAACTTCAAGCTGATATTAATAAAGTTTTCGACTGGGCATCAGAAAATAACATGATATTTAACAGTGATAAATTCCAGGTACTCAGGTACGGTAAAAATGAGGACCTTAAACATAATACAGGGTATAAAGCACAATTAAATGTACCCATAGTAGGAAAACAGCATGTAAAGGATTTGGGAATAATGATGTCTGACGACCTAACGTTTAGGGAGCATAACCAAGCAAATATTGCGACAGCCAGAAAAATGATAGGATGGATTACGAGAACTTTCAAATCCAGGGATCCCATCACAATGGTTGTACTCTTCAAGTCACTTGTGTTGTCCCGTCTTGAGTACTGCTCAGTACTCACTTCCCCCTTCAGAGCAGGAGAGATTGCTGAAATAGAGGGAATACAGAGAACATATACGGCACGCATAGACGCGATAAAGCACCTAAATTATTGGGATCGTCTCAAAGCCCTCCAAATTTACTCACTAGAAAGAAGACGAGAGAGATATCAAATAATATACACCTGGAAGATACTGGAGGGCCAAGTACCAAATCTACACAGTAAAATAACAACGTACTGGAGTGAACGATATGGAAGAAAATGCAGAATGGAACCAGTGAAGAGCAGGGGTGCCATAGACACAATCAGAGAACACTGTATAAACATCAGAGGTCCCCGGTTGTTCAACACCCTCCCAGCAAGCATAAGAAATATTGCCTGAACAACCGTGGACATCTTCAAGAGGAAACTAGATTTATTCCTCCAAGGAGTGCAGGACCAACCGGGCTGTGGTGGGTATGTGGGCCTGCAGGCCGCTCCAAGCAACAGCCTAGTGGACCAAACTCTCACAAGTCAAGCCTGGCCTCGGGCTGGGCTTGGGGAGTAGAAGAACTCCCAGAACCCCATCAACCAGGTATCAACCAGGTAACCAGGCATTCTGTGTCTGCCATCGGCTGGTTCAGGTACCCATAAAGGTAAGCATCCCAAAACAAACCCCTATTCTGGTTGAAACTGCTACTGAAAGTCAAATGAGTGGACAGAACTCCCCAAATAAAAACAAGCAAACGAGCATGACATTACCAACTGCTGCGCCGAAAACTGCACAGCTCCCCCCTCCCCAGAAGGGGGAAGGGGTAGCCCCAGACCCCTCATGCCGGCAACCCACACCTTCAGTTCTTTGGCTGATGTGAATGGCATTGGTCGCTGTGCTCTAGCTCCTGATTCTGTCCTGCTCTTTGCCTTGTGGTGTGGGGCGAGTCTTCTCTGGCGGTGTGTGAACCGGGAGTAATTTCCCAAGTACTCGGGCTGCATGCGCCTAGGGTCACGTTCCCTAGGTGCCCTGTAAGTACTGCCCTTGGGGCTTGGGGTTATCTTCCACAAGTTCCTTGGGGTCTACCTCTGTTGGTCTTTTGCTGTTGGGTAATTGACCATTCTGAGTGTGCTGGGGGGTGTTCCTCTTCCCCTGTTTACTTTAGTGTAAGAGGTAGTTTGAGCACTGGTAGGGGCACAGGGTATTGCACAGCTAGTTATCACCTTTAATGGCGGCCCGCTCTGTTCCACCTGGGTACGTTGTCCTCTTGCAGGGTTTTTCCTTTTTGTTTTGCTTTTCCTGTCTGGTGGGGGAGGGGGGTGTCTGCCTTTGGTTCGTTACCGCCCCTATCTATACCTTAGGTTTCTATCTCTGTGTTCTGGGTGGTGCACCCTGCTAGGCCTCCGTGAGTGGACACGTCCCGGTGGTTCAGTTTTTAGAAGTTTGATTGGTAGACTTGGGCGTTGGTTTGCAGTACCCTGCCTGGGCTTATCCTTAGCAATAACAGTCTAAGGACCCCTGAGAAACCCCTCGGGGGCACAAGGGTGCCGGAGTTCCCCAATCCTAATGCTCTAGACCTAATGGCCCCCCTCTCGCCTTGTGCGAGTTTGAGGGTTGCTCTGCCCCCTTGTCTCCGGGTGACTCTTACTGTTTTTGCCTCTGTCATGCTGCCTGTTGGGTCGGTGACACCTTCAACCCAAAGTCCTGTGAGAATTGTTGCTTGTTTGTGACTCACTCCGCCCAATCCACTGATGAATTTCTTCGGGTGCAGGCAGCTCAGGCGTTGCATGCTGGTTTTAAGTTGCTGTAACATGCTAGGTTGATAGCTACCCCAGAAGCCCCGAGGATGCCCAACCTTGCTTATAGGGACCCGGACTTGGGGGTGTTGGTTGCTTCACCCTTGATTCAGTCCATGCCCCCTCGTTCTTACCGTGCTGCGGTTCATTCTGCCCCCCCCCCCCCCCCTCCCCCTTCCCTTGCTTCCGGCTCCGAAGCATCTGAGGGCTTGGGGATCGGGGCGGGGTTTTAAGGATTCTGAGACTCAGGCAGTTTCAGGGGGTTGCCTCTTCCAGGAAGGAGGGCGACGGAGGCATTTGAGTCGGTTCCTCCAGCCGTTGTGGTCTGACCAGTGGGCCCCTTTCCTTAGTGTTTTTACGGCTGCCCCGGCTTTTTCTTTTAAGGCCGAGGCTTTGGAGGATGATTCAGCCTGCGGGTCCTGGTATGGAGGTTCCTGGGGTTGGGGAGGGGCTGACTTGGGGAAGTTGGGCCTCATTGGACCCCCTCCTGGGTTTTCATACCCTCCGAGTGGAGCTTACTGTTACACAGGGGGGTGTACTCCCTCCCTCTCTCCTCTACATATGTGTTAGTTTGGGTGTCGGCCCCTCCCCGGATTGAGTTCCGTGTCCCTTTGGGTCCATCGGTTCCGTCCTTCCTGTGGGTAATTTTACCCACTTTCTCAACATTATTCTCGAGGACATGTATTCTTTCATAGTCATATCACTATCATGTCAGATTAGTGTCAGAATCGTTTCCAATTCCTTATGTCCTACGTCCACTGGATCCTGCATGACCATTAGTTGCATATGCCACTGAGCCCATATGAGCCTATGTGATTTTGTGCTTGATTATCAAGGATTTCAAAGGTTCAAGAAGAACTTCGTAAAATTAAAAAATGATTGGAACGTCTCGATTTCCAGTGAGTATTTCCTCCCATTCTTTATAAGTATCGATGGTACTCTTCCGTACTCCTTCTTTTCTTTCAGTACTATATCTAATTATCTTATAATCACATCTTCTCTCAATAATCGGTCTCAACAATACATATAATCAATGAATAAACATTGTAGGTTACCCTCCCCAAACGATGGGAGTAGCCAGCTTGGATCTCATGGGTCCTGGGTGTGGCCCGAGGAAGATTGTTTTGTTTCTGGATGGTGTAAACGTGTTGGTGTTTTAATACGGGTACAGTAATACGCCACACTACCTATTCTTATATCACCAGTCAT